TTATACTGATGAGGTTGACAAGATTAGTGTCTTAATGCAATCTCTTTTGAGATATAAAAGAGAGAAGCAAGCAGAGACACATGGGAACCTCACACCACCAAGAAAGCAGTGCCAGGAGCACAGCACACCCTTTGGACCTGAGGTTCCTGTGCTGAGATGCTCCCAGACCAAGGAAAGACTGAGGCATCACAAGGACCTTTCTCCAGAGCCGACAGAGAGAGCCTTTTCCTGGAGCTGATGCCCTGAATTTGGACTTGTAGCCTACTGGACTTAAGACAGTAAATTTCTTTCTGTTAAAACCATCCACTTGTGGTACTTCTGTTAGAGCAGCACTAGATGACTGAGACATCCAGGTTTTCAAATTTGTTGGTGTATAGTTTTTCAAAATACTCTGTTATCCTTTTTATTTCCATTGGGTCTGTTGTAATGTCCCCCATTTATTTTCTTGTTTGAGTTATTTGCATCTTCTCCTGTTTTTCTTTTATCAGTTTGGCCAGTGGTTTGTTGGTTTTGTTGATCCTTTCAAAGAACCAACTTTGGTTTTGTTGATTCTTTCTATTGTTTTTCTAGTTTCTATTTCATTTATTTCTGCTCTGATCTTTATTATTTCCTTTCTTCCGGTGGCTGTGGGCTTTTTTTTGCTGTTCTCTTTCTATTTATTTGAGTTGTGTAGCTAATATTTTGATTTTGTTCCTTCTTTTTTGATGTATGCATCTATTGCTATACCTCTGAGGATTGCCTTTGCTTGTCCCAAAGGTTTTGGTATGATGTGTTTTCATTCTTGTTTGATTCTAGGAATCTTTTGATTCCATCTCTGATTTCTTCTATTACCCAGTGGTTTTTAAAAGCATGGTTATTCAGTTTCCATGTAATTGATTTTTTTTTCCTTGCTCTTCCTGTTGTTAATTTCTGCCTTGATGGCGTTATGGTCAGAGAACATACTTTGTATTATCTCAATGTTGGATCTTATTGAGGATTGCTCTGTGGCCTAAGATGTGGTCTATTCTGGAGAGTGTTCCATGTGCATTGGAAAAGTTCGTGTACTTTGCAGGTGTTGAGTGGAATGTTCTATATATGTCTGTGAGGTCAAGTTGGCTGATTATGCCCTTTAGGTCTTCTGTATCTTTGTTGAGTTTCTTTCTAGATGGTCTGTCCTTTACCAGGAGTGGTTTGTTGAAGTCTATTATTGTGGAACTGTCAATATCTCTTTTCATTGCTGTTAGAGTTTGTTTTGTGTATTTTGGGGCCCTGTCATTGGGTGTGTATATGTTTATTATGGCTATGTCTTCATGATGGAGCATCCCTTTAATCACTATATAGTGTCCTCCTTTGTCTTTTATGGTGGATTTTGTTTTAAAGTCCTTTTCATCTGAAATTAGTATTGTCATTCCTGCTTTTTTGGTAGCTGTTTGCTTGATATATTTTTTTCCATCCTTTGATTTTTAATAAATTTACATCTTTGTTTCTAAGGTGTATCTCTTATAGACAGCATATTGATGGATCCTGTTTTTTTATCCATTCTGTCACTCTCTGTCTCTTTATGGGTGCGTTTAGGCCATTTACCTTCAGCGTAGTTATTGATAAATGTGAGTTTATTGCTGTCATTTTGTAGTGCTTTTTTTCTTTTTTTTTTGTGGTGCTAACATTTTCTTTGTTCCTCTTACTCTCACTGTGCTGAATTCCTTTTGTTTGTGGATTTTTTTCATTTCTTTTGTTTTCATAGATTTTGTTTTTGCTGAGACTTTGTTTTTCTTCTTTATTCTGATGAGTACGTTTGTTAAGTTTCTTTGTGGTTACCTTGAAATTTACCCTTATCTTCCTAGGTTTGAACCAGTCTGTTATTACTTGGTATTGCCTTGTCTTCCTCTCCATTAGAAAGTTCTATACCTACACTGTTCATTCCCTCCTTTATTGTTCGGATGTTGTTGTCATTTACAAATTAACCTCTCTGGCCCCCGTTGTAATTCTTTTGGTTTTGGATAGTCCTTGAGAGTTTATTTCCTAGGTTCGTATCTGGCTGGATAGTCCTTGAGAGTTTATTTCCTAGGTTCGTATCTGGCTGGTACAATCTTGTGTCCTAGATTCAGGTTGTGGTCTGATGTTTGTTCTTCAACCAAAGGACTCCCTGTAATAAATCTTGTAAGTTTGGTTTGGTTTTTACGTAGTCCCTTAATTTCTGTTTGTCTGGAAATGTCCTAATTTCACCATCATATTTGAATGAAAGTTTTGCAGGATATATTATTCTTGGTTGGCAGTTTTTTTCTTTCAAGGTTTTATATGTCATCCCATTGCCTTTTTGCCTGCATGGTTTCTGCCGAATAATCAGAGCTTAGTCTTGTTGTTTCTCCTCTGTATGTGATTTTTCGTTTTTCTCAAGCTGCTCTAGGATTCTTTCTTTGTCTTTGGTTTTAATGAGTGTGATTATGATATGCCTTGGTGATTTTCTTTTGGGGTCTATCCCATAAGGGGTACGTTGAGCTTCTTGGATGGCCAGCTTTTCATCTTTCGTGACACTAGGGAAGTTTTCTATCAGTAATTCTTCAGTGATCCTCTCTGTTTTCTGTTTTCTGCCCCCGTTCTGGAACTCTGATCACTCGAAAATTTTTGCTTTTGATTGTATCCCACATAATTCTCAGGGTTTCTTCATTTTCCTTTGTTCTTTTTTCTGATTTTTCCTCAGAGTTGTAACCAAGTGTTTGTCTTCAATTTCGCTGATCCTGTCTTATCATTTCAAACCTGCTCCTCAGCCCTTCTGTGACACTGTCCATTTTTGAAGTCTTGTTTATGTTTTGCATTTCAAATTGTTGTTTTTGTATGATTTCTAGTTGTGGATTTATTTTGACATTTTGTTCCTGTATTATTTTCCTGAATTCTTCCATTTTTTTCCTGTATTTTCCATGAATTTGTCTGTTTTTTCCTCATTTTTGTCTGCTTTTTGCTTCAACTCTTGGATAGCTCTGAATATTAGAGATTTGAATTCCCTATCGATTGTTCTAGTGCCTTTTCTTCT